GAATTTTTTTGCAAAGACGTTTATTTACCTTTTTTCAAAAATTTACTATTGATTTTTGAACAAAGGATTGATCCTATTTACTTTATACAGAAATCATTCTTTGGCAGGCATTAGCAAAAGCTCATTTCAACATAAGGTTTACAGAAAACTAGTAGTTACTGAGATCATGAAAAGTATATTTATACGCTATGAGAATTTCTACACATATTTAATGACATAAACGCTCATAGGTCATTTTGTGCATAGATTAAGTCTAGCTAGCTATTTATATCATCTATTGCTATAGCGATATGAAAAAAGCTGCTATTCAACGCATCTCTTCGCTCCGACGCTGTGAAGCTTAAAATGATTTAAAATGTCAATCATTTAAAACAATGACACCATGTTATGTCCAGCATACACATCGTCTAAGCCAAGAGATGCGTTAAATAGCAGCTATTTTTATATCGCTAAAGCAATAGATGATATAAATAACTAGCTAGACTTATTGTATGATTGTGTGTACCATGATTCGATTCAACAATGAAAGCAACACAGAAACACACGCTGTTGAGACCAAAAAAATAAATGAAAAGAGTACATTTTCAGAGACATACATTATACTAACCAAAATGTAAATAATCTACTAAATATTCAGAGTTTGTTTTTGCGTAACAAATAGAAAATACTTTCGACAGAAGTAAAATACACATAAACACACACTCACACACACATACATTCACTTCAGTGTATGGTATCAATGTCTCTTGGCGAAAGTCAAATATATAGCATGTGAGAAAATGATGATGGTGTAGCCAAAAAGAGTGAAACGACAGAGGAAGAAAGAGAGCATAATGTAAAAACCGAAAAGCGTTCAAGAATAAACTTGCACCAAGGAATTAAATACAAGATGCATACTAAATCGAAACAAACGCTACCAAAATGAATAACAAAGAGTGACAAAGCAGAAAAAAAAAGTCTCAAAATAAATATGTTACTCGTGAATTTGTATGATAGTTGCTAAGAGTATTGGACAATGAATACAGAATGAAGCAAAAGAGAGTATGCAAACCGAGAGAGAATCGACAAGCAAACGCAACGAGTTTCAAGTACACTTGGATGTTATTGCAGATGACAGCAGAAAAGCAAATGAGAGAGTTGGAACGCGAACGATCGTTGAACAAAGCTTCGAAAACTTAAAGCCAAGAGAAGCGGGAATGAAAGAGCAAGAGAGAGAGAGAGAGAGAGAGAGAGAATGTGAAGTAAAATCGGCACCAGAGGGGCCCTATTTTAAAACTGCACACATTCGAATTCCATTGACATGGTGTGTATGTGTGTGTGTGTGTTTGGTTAGCTCAACATGAAGTAGAGGTTAAACCCATGCACTGCATCCACCGTTTTTGTGATACCCACTATATTACGATCCATTCCAAGTAACTGTCACATGTTCACTTTATATTGCGTCAATAAGGTCTCAGTGTGTGCAGCTTATGAAGGATACTGGTCGATCGAAACGCAATTCCAAAACAACAAAAAAAGAAAAAGAAAAATGAATAACAACAAAAGCGGCTGCAAACAACACCACCAACAACAACAACAGTAGCATGGAAAAAAGAGAGTCAGAAAACACCCACAGGGATTTGATAAAGTTTTCTTACTTTTACTTCAAGAAGTCACATGCGTTTCCTGTTGTACATAACAAGCAAACCCAAAAGCATCAACGCACCGTCTCGCTTTCCAAATGGGTGTGATGTGATGCACACTAGACATGACATAACCTAATATTATATTCCAGAATGGAGTGGCTGTAAAAACTAAGAGGGCAACAGCTATCATGTGTATACATATATATGAGTTAATACGTAAACCCATTTAAGCCTCCGAATCAAAATTCACTTCAACATCGACTAAAAACGGTTTATCTTACAGTTCTTTATCCATTTTGTTGGGTTTGAACGCGTTTTATCATGCACATACCGTTTACCAAATTCGCACCCACCAATGACGACCACAGCGAAAGGCAATAGCAAGTAATAAGAGAACGAGAAAGAAGGCACACCAGTTAAGAAACACAACCGTAGTTGTTCTTCACTTCTTCACTTTGTGTCACACAGAGTTTGTTGTGTACGCGTCCACATTTCATCTAAATTTCTATGTCATTTACATTTAGCTACAGCTCGCTGGTACTTACATGGATTTTTTTCCCCTCTGACACTATATGTTTGCTTTCGCCACTCGCATTTCACTTTCGAATTCTATGGCGCGTTTTTTTTTCTCGTTCGTTTTTCAGTTTTCTCGGTTTCTTCTTGCACTTCTTATGGTTGGTAGATGAATTTCTCATTCTTTATATCCACATTTGGGCGATTATTGAGCAAGTATGTGAGATAGGACCTGCAAAATCTTTTACGTGCAAAATTCGGTGAACGAAATCCTCAGTCTGAAAATATAAAAATTTATGCGTTCTCTTATGATGTACTATCAAACACAAAACTGTATTTACCCATTTGTTTGCAGGCAATGCGCGCGCGAAAGAAAGAGTGGCATCCGAGTCACGGCCTCAATGTTTTTTTTCCTCTACTTTGGAAAACTTTTTTGACTCTTTTTGACATGCCAAATGGTTTTACCTTTTCGATTGATGTGCTATGATGAAAATGATAAATGATTTTGTTACGGATTTTTACTTCTTTTTTTTTTTGTTTTATGCATGATTTCAGAAAGCTAGGCGTCAAAATAACGAAAACGAAGGGAACAAGAGAAGTGTGAACGGCAAGTCAATGACAAGTAATACGTATACATTTGTTTGAAGAGAAGAAAAAAAAACGAGAAAAAAGATCGAAGCATATGAAAGATGAGACCAATACATTGATGTTCAAATATAAAATGATATGGCCATTTTTTCACTGTGTCAAAGGTCATTTTTTCGCTGATTGTTCCCAGCTTACAACAATTTTTGTTTTTCTCGTTCCCATCGATTTCACGTCTTTTTTCACAAACGAAAACTCGATCATGTGCCATTCTTGTCGTCACTATACCTATGCTATGTGCTTCATTGCAAAAAGCGTCGAGTTAGTGATAGAAGTTTTATTATGTGCTCCTCTCTGCTCAGCATCAAAACATCTTTCTTTTTCTCTTTCTATTTTTTTTTCGCACGTATTTCTCTGATTAATGTTTGAGTATGAGGAATTGAATTTGGTTGAAGTGAACACCCCAAAATAATGTTGTTGTTACCGATTTTTCGTTTTGTTTCTCTTTTTTATATACATCTTCTTCGTTCGGTCGTTTTCTCTCCGAAAGAGAAAATCACACATATATTATTTTGACACAAGCAATCTCCGGTATATTATACCTTACTACAGAAAACTACATAAATATTCTACATCTTTGCGCTAGGATACTCTGGTAAAAAGCAAAGCAGTGGAACATTTTACCGACTCTCCAATTCCGAAGTGATAAAATATACAACGAATAAATCGAATGCTACCCCATAACGATGAACCAGTTTTGGAGGGGCCGAAACCATCCGAGAAACCGATGCTCGTCGTCCAAATGACAATGTTCAAGATTACAAATCAATAGTCAAAGAAACTTCGAAATAATGTTCCACTCAAAGTGCTCATCATCAGCATTGTGACCGAAAAACCAACGGCACTGCAGTGTCTATTATAGCAACAATAACAACATAGCAGTAGAAGTAGCAGCAACAACAAATATTTATGAACATACCTATTTGACATAGACAAAGTCTATGAACTGGCAGAATGTACCGCATGCACTCACTAAAGTGAGTGAAAAAAAATCCAATTTACGTATTTATTCTAGCAATAAATATCCGAAAGATGAGAAACATTGAATGTGCAGTAATCTAATTACAATGGTATACGTAGAGTGTCATGAAATAACTGCAACTGACATTCTTTGGCCAATTCATCTTTCTTGCTACGATATGGCCAATTTTTTTTTTATTGGTATACCGACTAAAGGAAGATTCATGCGAACGATTGATACGAAAAATTTTGTATTCAAAATGAAAATTGGCATGCACTGGTGTGCACTGTTCTATTCGTTCGTCTATTTAAAAGTAGAATATACTAGTATTCACACACTTACAGAATACATGCTTGTCATTTTGCGGTAAGTGGCCAAATAGAAGAGAAAAAAAAGTCGTTTGTAAACCTTAATAATCATTGGTTGAGATGTGACTGAGGCATTTGTCAACCTCTATACATCGTCCATACTCAATCAATGCAACGTTGATCGAACGATTATTACTACTATTGCCAACATCATCTTCATTGCACTACACCATATTCGATTTACGGGCAAATTTTATCTTTAATCAATTAAATTTTCACTTTAATCGAATTGAAGTGAAGACGAGACTGAGATAGTAAAATAGGCGGCAATCGAGAAAGAGCAATGGCAATGAATCTGATATATTTTATAAAGTGAATATCGTAACTTATCAATGCTGGCGTATTGGCAATTTGGCATTGAAGTTGGTTATTAAAAGGCGTTGCATTGCCAGAGATCGAATATATCAATTAAATTAAATGGAAAATGTGTGTATCGTGAATCGTGTGTATACCTAAACGTGAATCATCTCAAAAGTTTTGTATTATTTTATTGCATACGTTGTGCAGTGCATGTGCATTGTGTATATTATGTGATGCATTCAAATTGAACAAACGACAACGGCAACAGTACACAATACCATTTGATGTTTTCGTGTTAAACAAACGATTTTCCAATCTATATCTGCCGCTGCAGCGACATGTCCATTGTGGTTATTAGCAAATAATGTAACGTAATCGATCAATGAATTCATTTTGAGCCACAAAACTTGTGTACAATGTACATACATGATTTTTTTATCATTGTGGCTATGGTCACTAAAAAAATGTCCCAGAAACGATTGGTTGGATTAATTAATTTGAACAAATTTAAGATTGAAACAACATAAAAAATTAAACCATATTTTCTCTTTCTAGCCACATGTAACTTATGACATTTTTTAATTTCAGGTGTTAACGCCATCGTCTGGATTTCTTGATTTTGCCATAAGTATGCGACCCGACTACCATGAGGCAATCATCGACACTATTCGCCACTATGGATGGGAAAAAATTATTTATTTGTACGATTCGCACGACGGTAAGATTGTGATTTAAATCTCATTTTTTTTTTCAAAATCAAAATTTTTACGCTATTGAACATTTACTGGAATTCCAACATCTGTACACCGCTTCCCACCCTTTTCACCCCTTTCGAATGAATTGCAATTATATACGATTTCGATGCAAACGACAACACTAACAATAGATTTATGGGTAACCAGCTGTAGTTTGTGTAGAAAGCGACACAACGCATTTTAAATTGTCGCTTTTGAACGTTCAATTGGTTGTGCTTGTTTTGCAACAATTTAACCTACCTGATTGTAGCCTGATTAAACTACAAGAAAGCAGCAAGCAAGTAAAATTGGCAGCGGTCGAAGGGGAGTGAAAAAAAAGAAGAGTAACCGAGAGAGAGAAACAGCGAAAATGTTGGAATGATTTCCTAGTTTTGTTTTGTGACATTTCATCATTTGGTCAAAGCATAATTTTCGTGCAATTTCGTGACGCATTCCCTTCCATTAGTCGAATTTTCCTTAAACATTTTTCTTGATTCCTAATGAATCAAACGCTATGGCAAACTCACTAGTAAACTGGGAGCAAAGAACACATCGAATGTTGATGATGTGAACAATTCGGGCAATTGAAATAGTTACCGGGAGAATGAATCAAAAGTTAGAGAAAAATTCTGGTCGCACCAAAAACGCGCAATGAGAACAAAAAGTTTTTTTCGACAGAAAAAGAGAGAGAGAGAGAGAGAGAGAGAGAGAGAGAGAGAGAGGGAGAGAGAGAAAAAGGTTTAATGAATCCTTCAATGCACGCGATAAAATAATGGGCTGTGGGAATGAAAATCGAAGCGCAAAATGAACCAAAAATGTGCAGCGATTGCTTGCAGAGAAGAGAAAGATGTTAGATTATGCACGACAAAGCATCGATAATTTTGCCCACAGAGTTGCGTCCGTTTACAGAGAAGCAACTAGCCAAAGGTAAAAATCAACGAATATGTAGTGGCAGCGATTTTTACCGAAGAGTGAGACTCGTGTCGTTTTAACATTAAAAGTGTTAAACACATTCGTGCTTCATTTCCAGTACATTCCACACCATTTAATTTTCGGTTGGTACTGTTTCATGCTGCCGCCGTCGCTACTACTACTCCTGGCTCTTCCCGAACTTTACATTTTCGCTTTCAATCCCTTACTTTTGCTCTCATACTCTCTTTCTCACTCATTCGATCGCTTTTTATAAACTTTTGCTCGAAATTTATTTCTATTAAGCGCTCGCGTCTCAGTTTTACCAGGCGGGTTCGTATGTATGTTTGTCTGTGATGTTGAAATGCTTTTTGTTTCATTCTCACTTTGAACCGTCCATGCTTTTTTTTTCTCGTTTGGATTCTGGTTGATTTTCAGTGTTGTATGCGAACATGTTTCTTTCTCTATCGCTCTCGTTCTCTTTCGGTGCTGATTTTCAATTTGGCAAGTGCATATTTTCACAGTTTTTCTTCAAAATCTTTTATTTTTCTACTTGTTATTTTGGTGGTTGTGTGTATCAGCAAATAACATACATACACAGAAAAAGAGATAGAGATAGAGATCGAAAAAAAAAAACTTTGCAAACGGATGGACGGATTTCGGACAACTTTCTCGGGCATTTTCAAACCACTTTTTTTCATGCGGGCTAAATCACTCGAATATAGAAAAAAGTACGGAATGCAAAAAAACTGGATTGAAATCATCGTTGAAGTGCTTGTGCTACGTATTGAGCTCATCAAGTGAAACAAAAATTGTTAGAAGCCGTGTAAAACTTCCCGTGTTTGCTTTGTCTTTTTTTATTCTCTCTTACTCTCTCTCTTTTGTCGTTATTTCCACTCGAATTCCTGTTTGGTGGTTGATAACAATTTGCATGTGTTTCAAGAAAGAATGTACAACATATGTTGATGATTTAATGTACACACAGTTCATTGACAATTTTGAAAGAAATAATTTTCGGTTGGTTTATCTCATTGATGATTTACTTTTGTGAATTATGACTATTTGGATTTGGCGTATGGGGGAGCCATGTTTAAAGTAATGTCTTCAATTATATTTGCTATAAAGATATCATTTCTGCGCCAAAGATAAACCATGTGGATTGAGTATTTTAAAATCGATTAAATGGTCCTAACAATGTCTTTCGAAAATTTTGGCACCGAAAATATTGACATAAAAATATTATTCAGCATGAAAAATGTGATCATTTAGTGTTATCAAAAATTGTAAATTTCATTCTTATAAATTCAGATGATAAGGCTCCTCCTTAAATTGCATCGTACATCTGAAATGTTGTTCGCACGAATGGTCACGATTTTTCGCTCAAACTATTCGCCCACTATAATTACAAAGATACTACACGTGAATATTGCAAAACGAAATTACTTTTCTTTCTACCTGTAATATGTGCATATATGCGGTGAAATGCTATCAAAATAGACAAACTTCGAGATAGTGTAAATATGGTGGAAACATGTCCAAACATAATGTAATCAATGTATATGTATGGAAAGGAAATCCAAAAGTGTTCTTCCGCATCAGTTTTAATCTCATGAAAAAGAGAAACCATATTAAAAAGTAATTAGCACATACAAGCGCGCCTTTAGTGGGGCTGGTGGGGGAATGAAACACATCAAATAAATTGAAACTGGCTGATGGCAGATCGTTGAAAATTTGTAATATAGTCAAAATGAAGAGACAATTTTATAGCATGCAGTTTGTATTTCAACTAAAATGCAAAATATTCTAATGAAAATCGAAATTTGACTGCTGTAACTAGTGGAACAAATGTTAGTTCATTCAAAATTATTTTGCCAAAGCTTTTTGCAATGAATACGGGAATTTTTAATGCATTTCATTTTGCACACATGCTAGGGTGTAGCATTTTTTCAAAACATTTACGGCTCGGCACCAAACTACGAAACCATCTAGATTTTTATTTAAAATCAAAATTTTGGTGTACCACAATGTCAAGACTTTGTAAACATCATTTTTAGACAATTTTTCAGAATATACAGATACAGAAAGGTTAAGTGCCTGCCGCCTGTACGTTTTGATTTTTTCTCATATTTTTGCTACACCCTAATACATAAGATACGAATTCATTGTGTGAATATGAGAGAAAATATCGATTGCATTTTTGAAAATATTACACGATGTAAGTTGAGAGTAAAGAGAGAAAGAGAGAGAGGGAGAAGGAGAGAATCTTTAAAATGTTTGTTATTTTGAAGTTAAAGCAGTTGATAGTTATTATTCAAGCCGCTTCAAACCCCTCCGCGAGCTTTTTCATCGTGTTTTATGTGCTTATATTTATGTTTTTGTATAATTCAAAATGTGCTTTTGATTGTTTTGTGCATTATGCCAAATGACAAAAGGCAAAATGCGATTACAATGCGGACGGAACAAAACTTGTTTCATTTTACTTTACGGCAAGTAAAAATGGATAGAACACAGAATGAACGCCGACGACGACGACGACGACGTCAGAGTGAAAAAAAATAACGTTAATTACAATGAACTAGCCGAACCGCAAAGAATGCACTGAATAAATAAAATTTCACTGGTGTACGAGCTGAAAAAAATGGTTATTTTGTATTGTAAGCTATAATGAATATTTTATTCCCTCTTTCTCACTCTTATTTTTGCTTTCGTCCCTACCCGCCGTTGCTTTTTCTATGGCTCCTTGTTCTTTGGCGCGTTGTAGATGCAAGGTATAAACTTATTGAGAGAGAAAAAAAACACAGAAGCCAAATGAAAATAAAATGATCTAAGAAAAAAAATGAGCCTTAGATCCCAATGTAACGCATGTGCATATGCAGATAGCACACCTAAATTATACAGATTTATTTAAATTGGTTAAATCTTGCCATATTTTGACTAGCAACCCGCTCCCGCTACGCTTTTCCGTTTTCCGTTGAGTTGTTCTCATTGAGTTTGGCTACTTCTATTGGAATTGTTGGAGGACAAATATGCGAAGTGCGAGACGATCAACAGTACAAAAAAACCGGGTGCAATGCATAGTGCCACACTCACTATCACACACACACACCATCACCACCACCACCAGGCAATATAGTCTCTCATAAAAAGGAACCAGTTTTGGAGACTTTTACAATTTTGGGAATATGAAGAGCACACATTTTCGGCGAGTGTGTGTGTGTGTGTGTTGTGGAAATTGCTGAATGTACTTTCGTTCAATGTTTGTATTTTGTGAGCTGTAGTGCATTGAATGCGCATCTTCTCGTCGACAATGTTCACATATCAGCCACTATATGTGTTGTTTGCCACCGTCACAATACTGCAATCTACAAAAGAAACGAAAGAGTGAGGCTCCAACAAATATGCTAATTTTACAATACTTTTTCTCTTTCTCACTCTAACTCTCATTCTCTCTTCTTCTTTTTTTCCTGGTGAGGATGGGAATATATAAGTTTTATCTTCAATGTTTTTACACAAATGTACACATTTTGCACTGTAACATCCACACGTACGGACTGTTGTTTCATTTTCGGGTGCCTGCCGTTTTTACTTGCTTGCCTTTTTTTGACTTTTTTCTATCATCTATGTTTAACTCTATTTTCTCTATTTCTTACTCGTTCACTTGGTTCGTTGTGTACTGCTTTTCGCTTTGTGAACCGACACATAGGTTGCCTTTTTTTTCTCTCTCATCTTTTACTACATACGTCTTCTTTTTCATTTTCTTCGCAACGACAACCAAAACTAAAACGACAATGACGACGTGTGTGCCTTTCGGTACCGAAGAGTATGTGTGTTTTGGAACGTTTCTTCTGTTTGCCGCAGTTTAAATTTCACGAACTTATTAGAATTTAGATTAAAATTTTAAATTTATGTAGAAAAGCGTATTATTGTTGCGTTTTGGTGTAAAATGAATAGGAAGCGCTTTAGTTTGGTCATACGAGTGTGAGTGTGAGTGTGTGTGTTGTTGGTGTATTTGAGCTGTGTGTTCGTGCGTTTTGAACTCACAAGAAGAAGGATGAGAACGGAAAAATGCATAATC